TTGGGCTTTTGCTACAGGCTGACCAAAAGTCCTTCTGTTCAGGATAGGTCCCGAGTGAGGCAACTGCCTTCACTCAAGTAATGTTCCCCAAGATCAGTGTGATTGGCGAGGGTGGAACTTCCATCGGAATACCCTGCAACGCACATGCTCCACTTGCTGCATTTTCCAATGATAAAGTCAGTTGTAGTGACTGTTTGAAGTCCAGTTGGATTCCAGCTGGTAGGCGCTTTTGCATGGTTATAAATTAATCTCACATATCAAATGGTCTCTCCCCAACTCATTAGGGTTAAAACAAAGTCGTATGCCTCTTCCAGTCATCTTAACCTAATCAAAAATCCCGATAGGAATTCCCCTGGTTCTCGAATTGCTTAGTAAAACCAATAGCATCTCAGAATTAGAGGAGGCTTGGGATCAGAATATTCCTTAAGTAAATCTGTCAACCCTTGAAAGGTTTCAGTGTCTGGTGCCGCAGGAACAGTTGTACTCCTAACATCTGAAAAAGTTGCAGGTCCACAAGCTGTCAGGAGAATTACTCATTGCCTTTCATCTGCCTCAATTTATTTGCCCGGAAAAAATAATGCATTCTTTCCACATACCGAGCCCAGTCTTTGACGGCGGAATTGAACGAGCTAAGCTTCCCAAATAATGGCATGATGCCAGAAACGCTTACCCAAATCAAACATGACTTTTGCGAGTGAATTTCTTCAGGAGCATGCTTTTCTCTTATCACCACTGAAATAACTCCACAGAGGCTGGTATCCCATCCAAAAGTTACCCTTTCTTTAAATGTGGAGAGTCCTTGACACTGATCCCCCTTCTTCACAGCCAGCTCTCAGAATGAACAGAACCTTTGATACTCCGGTTTACATTTGTCAGCCAGGGCTCCCTGACTCGGCCAGATTAACAGCCCCAAATCAGGAAACTCATATTCTATGAGGTCTGAGATAACAAGGTGTAGAGCTGGATGAACACAGCAGGCCAAGCAGCATCAGAGGAGCAGGAAAGCTGACATTTTGGGCCTAAAATTTTCTGAAGAAGGGTCTAGGCCCGAAACATCAGCTTTCCTGCATCTCTGATGCTGCTTGGCCTGCTGTGTTCATCCAGCTCTACACCTTGTTATCTCAGATTCTCCAGCATCTGCAGTTCCTACTATTTCTATGAGGTCTACCTGGCTGACCTCGTTACAATCACTACATCCCACCATACCCTTTCCAAAATGAATTGCCTTCATTCTACTCCATTTCTCACTTTTAAGAAAAATGTTCTTAAAAAACACAGTTTCTACCTTCTGCAAAGGTAACCTAACTGGTTCACAAAACGTTTAACATGGTTCTGTGAAATTGGCCATGCATAAGCAGTTTAGCAGATCTGTAATTTTCTTGGAGGTCCTGACCATTGGTGCCATGAATGGACTTTCAAATGAGATAACAAGCTGAAAACTGAAGCACGTTTTCATCTCACCATGTACACCCATCACCCAACTACCAAATCTATCCACCATTTGCCAAGCAATGTTGTGTGTGAACTGGGTAGGTGTTATTAAACTCACAGCTGTTTTGGATAAAAGAACTTCCAAATACTAGCGGAATGGATTTGGATCAGATCAACACAACCAAATTGAATTCAATATCCCTGTGTGAAAGAAGATGCTGGCTCACAAAGTGAGAAACTCTCTGCCATTTAGCAGCTCCAAAGCAGCTGTGTACGTTTCTTTTCTTTTGCCCTGTAAGTAAACTTCAGGGTAAACTGGCATGCACAACACCAGCATTATATTGTTTCACAGAAAACAGTCATCCTTTAACCTTTTATTAATAAAGTACTGTACCAGCTCAAGTACACTTCAGATCCATCAGACATGCACTTTACCAACATTTAAATATTGTCTGCTCAGCGTTATTTGTCAACAAATGCTAGCAATTGCAAAATACCGGTGTTTATTTTTCCTAGAACACTGATACGAGCAAGGTGCAATATACAAGCATTGCAGAACAAATGCACATCAACCTTCAGCACCAATCTGAAATTAAAAAAAAAACTATGATCATACCTCTTATACATTCTTGTACTTTGCGGAGAGATGTATACATAACTATCTTATGAGACTGGCTGTTTGATGCCATGACTATGAGAGGATTTGGCAATACCGTCTACATCACGAAGGTCTTCTGTACCTGCAACAGAATGAAGCCCCTTCTCTGTGGCCCTCTTGTGGCAGTTTTCACAGGCAGTACCGTGATTACATTCTAACTAAACCTGGGGTCTTCTTGCACCAGCTTCTGGTCTTTATTCATTCCCACTGCTCAGCTTAATAATTCCAACAAAATCAGATTAAATCTATTCAGAGTATTCTTTCCTGTGACAGGATTTTATGAGCACCACCTTCACAATCCCAAAGCACATATTCCCTCCCATATCACCAACAACACTGGCAATACAGAAAACCTATTCTCCTTTCTCAGCTTTCTAAAGCATCTTAACTTCATGTGCCAAGACTAAAAGATTTCCACAGAAATAGTAGCAATATTAAACATATACTCAAAAGATGTATCATATTTGTGGATACAAATGCTGAAGAAATCTAGGAGAAAATTCAACCTTTTAAACCCCTCTATAAAGTAAAAATGGTAGCAGTTTTTTTTTTATCTTACAGTCCTTACAGTCACTATCAATTAAATTGCTTTTGAATTATATGTTGATCAGGTCATTCTGAACTGAATCAGACATGGTTATTATTTCCAGAGTGCCTACTGAACATCCACCAAATCATATCAAATTACTAGTAAAATATATGGTTGAAGTAAGATATGCATATGGTAAAAAAACAATTTACTATATACAAAGCATTAGGACACAACATGCCACTGTCAAAATGGCTATGAGAATCAATGTCCTTTGATAAAATTTAACCCTCACTGTGGCAGTGCCAGAAAGTATTAATCTTCTTTCATGATAAAGGTGAAATTAAAGGCTGGATTGTACACTCCCCAAAAAACAGATGTGAAGGTGGGGTTACATGATATCCTGTGTGGGTCTTCCCTTCTCACTTTGTCATTTTGCCCTAAATTGTCTGAAATTTTACAGAGGTGGGGGCAGGTGATAGGCAACCTGCCCACCCTTGAACCTATTAATTGTCTGATGACGAATTAAAGGCCAGGTCCCATCACCACCGGCTCTTTACCTGGCAGCTATCAGATAATCAGAGGTGGAGGGGGGCTCCTTTGTAAGCCTCCAGACCATGAGGGATACCCCTACCCAAAAATGTCATTCCACCTCTTTAACTCTCTTGAACCCAAACCTTTCTCAGAGAACCTTAACACCAAATCTACATGGGTTCCTCGTTGTCCAGAGACCCAGGTAATGTTCCAGGCATCTGAGTTCAAGTCGCACGATGGCAGATGGTGGAATTTGAATTTTTTAAAAAACCTGGAATTAAGAATCTAATGATAATCATGAAACCATTGTCGTTTGTTGGAAAAACCGATCTGGGTCACTAATATCCTTTAGGGAAGGAAACTAATGTCATTGCTCAGTCTGGCCACACATGGTGACTCCAGACCCACAGCAATGTGGTCAACTCTTCACTGTTCTCTGGGAAATTAGAGATGGGCATTAAATGCTGGCCTAGCCAACAGCACCGTCATCCTGTCAATGAATAAAAGTTCCAGCAGTTGCCAACACTCTCACTGGTGCTGATGGACTATAGAGCCGCCAGCCAATCTGACTGTTCCCAGTGTTGACTTTCTGCAGGCAGCCATTGGGATTTTGGCTGGTGCCCTACATTTTGTGTGGGGTGGGAAGAGGGGTGCATGGGAGGATGGGAAGCTCAACAGAATCTAGCCCTATCCTTGCACATATATATCCCATACTACAGTGTGGAGAATGAACGAAGAATTGAAATAAATTAATTTGTATCATCATGCAGATTCAAATAATCTAGATATTCCTCTCAAAAACCTGATGATCCATGGCCTTGGTCTGTTCACAAGTTCAAATAAGGAACATTCTTTAACCCAGAAGTGCTCATCTACCCCAAAAAAAAAAATGTCCTGTCCCCTGTAAAAGCATCTAGTCATTCTTAAAATTTTCACTGCCTCTGCCATTTTTGGAACTCACTTAATGTGGTGATCCCTCTGTGTGAAGGACTTCCTGACACGAGAACTAAAATTTAGCCTTTTATTTGCTTGAATCTGCAACTTCTTGCTTCTCTCTCGGGTGTTAGTATGAAGCAAAGATGTACTGCTTACAATTTTAAAGTTATGGCAATTTCTTTTCTGATGACTTAATGTCCATTGAAAATGTCTTCTATGGAAAACAACAGGCTTTTTCCTTTCAACAGGTATAGAATATATGATTGTAGACTTAAAAAGACTGGCAATAAAAAAAATTGACTAACTAGACTGTGACTGTTGTGCCTCAACTTTACATGGAAAGACCGCATTTAACACTGCGGCACTTTGAAAGAAAAACATTCTTTTTAAAGAAAGAAACTGTAAATACTTTTGACTAAAATAAAAGTTAAAAGTAGAAGCTAGACTTATGCTGGTAGCAATCCGGAATTCATGGCACACCATAAATTCATAGTTCACAGCATTATATCTATTTCTTTTTATTTCAAAAAGGGGCAGCAATTACTGCTTTTCGGTGACAAAGTAAAGATTTTAAGAAAAGTCTTTTTTGAACAATTCGGATTCTGTTTTTATGCTACACATTAATCAAAGCTATACCCTGTTGTCTTTGCACAGCGAATCAAATCTGCCCCTGGCAAAGAATGAGGAAAAGTCAACAGGAATTAAGTTTCAGTGCAACTGTTTACTCAACTGTGGCCTGCAGTTATTGAAATTTTATCCATGGTTTTGTGTGACTACAGCTGTAATAAATTCAGCATGACTGCAATTCTCTAAGTTATGGCACATTTATTTCAAGCAACAACCTGCACATCTATGTTGACTGAGGCAAACTGCAATCTGGATCAACAAGAAAAGCCACAGCATTAGCTATACCTGTTGTTGCTGGAGATGAACCAGTTCAGCAGCAGTCACTTCAATCGAGGATGAGTCGCCGTTTGATCTCCCTTCCCTTGTGCTACTGTCTGGATAGTGGTTACCACTGCTAACTTCGTTCTGATTGGCTGAACCGTTGCTTGCTGCCTCAATCCCAGATTCTTGCATCATGACTCAAAAACCTGAAAAATAATTCAGCACAACAGCTGTTAACACAGTAATCTGAGATTTTGTCCTCAGATTCTAAGTTTCCAAAACCGTGAAAAGGTAGTGATTGAAAGCCTTTTCTTTCTTTTAAATTGCTGTGCATAGACTTTACAGTTACTTGATTACTGATGCAAAAAACATCTATTTTAGTAAGTCACACTGGTTGAATTTTAGATATATTAGATAATTAATGCTACACACCATTATTTTCTATTCACTGGATCATAATATTTTTGTGGGAATTAATTTCACAGGTGGTATTAAAACAGCCATAAAACTAAAATGAATATAAGATTTCTAAGGGTTTAGTTTAGCTTTATTTTGTATCAGTGCTACACAACATGATTAAAATCCAACAATACAGAAAAAAAGTAAATTAAGTTCATTTCCCTTCAGTAACTAATGTGAACAAAAAGGCAGAAACCTATTTCATCCTTTGCACTGGCATTTTTTGCTCATATTAGTGAGGGAGGGAGAAAGAAGTCCCAGTGAATCATGTGGTGTCAACATAAAATCCAGTATTACACTGGTACTCTGACAAAGTTAAGTTGGCTTGGAAGCTGTAGTTGTCATATCCAAGACTTGCCACATAATTGTACTCCTGTTGCATTACTCTATTGCGTTTTTTAGAGTAAGTAATTTTGTGCATGGACCAGTTCTAACAAAGTTTCTGATGGGAAACCTCTCCCTTTCCAAGTTTGCACCTTTCTGATGTGCTTCTAGGTTGGCACATGTAGAATGACAATGTGCACAAAATGCAGGGGGGTCAGCTGGTGTATATGAAAATATATACCTCAAGAAACACCATCTTCAAATGACAAAGGAAAATAGTGTAAGTGCAAAAGCAATTCAGGCTAGGTCCTGGTCCATTTAAATGTATATCTTCAGTCTGAAAACGGCAAGTTGCCAATAGCTATGGTGGTCTGACTGTTAAATATGCTTCTGCTTAGCTGCATTCATCATATTCTTCCTAGACAGCATTTTTTTCAGCTGAAAATTATTCTATAATTTTTTTAAGAGAGTTGGGTAATTAAGAAAGGTGGTCAGTAAATACATCTCCAGGATAGGTGCTGCAGCTTTAATAAAGCAAAGAACTGCAGATGCTGAAGGTTTGAAGCAAAGACAGAAATTGCTGTTGAAACTCAGCAAGTCTGGCAGTATCTGCGGGGAGAAAGCAGAGTTAACATTTCTGTTAACAGAGTTAACATCAGCTTCTGATGAAGAGTTACTAGACTCGAAATGTTAACTCTGCTTTCTCCCCACAGATGCTGCCAGACCTACTGAATTTTGACAGCGATTTCTGATTTTGCTGCAGCTTTAAATTCAGTTAAACTATAGAATCACTGTTAAGAAAAACTAGCTTTTGCTGTAACAGTATAGCTCTATTCTGAACTACTACAGATAATTGACTGGGTATGGAAAACATGCCAGAGGTTACATGGGTTTAATTTTTCTGATCGTTAAGAAATAAAACCTAATCAGTCTGACAAAAGAAGTACCGCCTCCCTAACTTTAGTTTGCCTTTGGCAGTTGGCATGCTTTTAATTCATTTCACACCTTGATAGTGATGTACTTGTGCGATCAAACCCAACAATAACTCTGCTTTGATGAGCTAACCTTTTTTAGGAAAGTTGCTCTGCTCACAAGAAGAGAGACTTTATTCCAGGACAGTTAATGAAGGCTGACCAAGTCAGGCTGAAATAAATTAACTTAACTGATCAATTATTTATATGAAGCAGAAAAAAATGCCCTTAAAACACTCTGCCTAATCATCAAAGGAAGTGAAAATTGAACTAAACACAGATTTATAATATCACATGCTTACTCCTGTGGGAAGTTCAGTCACTGGAACCAGAATGGGACTAATAAATGCCGACTGACAAAGATTCTAAATTAAAACAATTTCAAATGCTGTGTGACAGAACATGCCAAATAGTAAAAGAGTGTTTCTAAATCTGTAAACTAGAAACAAAATTATCCAAATATAATGTAGCTGTAATGCAGCTTAAAAATACTACGCATCATTGTACTGATATTACACATGCACTGCCGCCCCATAATGAATTTTCACAATTATAAAAGAGGAGTAAATTTACAAATGCACAGCAGCTAAAAAGTAATCAAGAGAATGAGCCTAAAGGATATTTCAATGTATGCAAAACTACTGACCCACAATAAACTGAAGGTAGCCCACAATGAATGCAGAATTATACCCAAATGCTAAGTACCTATTCTGATGAAGAACAGCTAAAATTAACACTCAATTAATTTTTGAATCGACAAACAAATGAAACTCATAAATCTACCTTCTCATTAATTTTACTGTGGTGTAATACCATGCTGCAATATCGAGAAGAAACCTTAAGTGTTATCCATCATGAATATCAAAAAAGGGTAGCACTAAAACAGCATAAATTATGTATATTACCTGTTGGTAAAAATGATAAATGTTTTATCATTTCCAATGCATAATGTGAGTTTCAGCATTATTGAAGATAAAAATATGTGATTTTCTTTGAATACTCATCTAGAGCAAAAGTGCATTAATTAATGGGGGGAAAGGGCTTGCTTCACAAACACATATGATTCGTCAAGGTCACAATGTCTGTAGGTTTTTTTTTCCTCATCTTTGAACTGTTGTAGCATTCTGCTGCCAATGTTAACAGGTTCTGTCAGGTTTAAATGCACAACAAATATCCCGAAACAACAACAACAACACTCAGTACAATAACATAAAGAGTCCTTGTGGAGGTTTCTAACTTGTTTACCAAACACAACAAGGAACAAACTAAGCATACGGTCACCTGCAACTGTCTCTCCCACTTACAGCACGATATGACAAAGGCCTGTTAAGTCAGCATTCATTGAACAAAGCACTTTCTGTCCATCTCATGTACCCAATGTGCCTCTGCTCCTCTTGTTCAGCTATGTCTCTTTCTGTTTAGCTGGTAGACTGGGGGTTGGGGAAGGAAAAGAAAGCAAACAACTGCATAGATACCATTCCACTCTAAGGAAATTTAGTGAAGAACTAAACAGCTTGCTAATCTTCTAGCCCCTTCACTCAAGCCTCCGATAAGAAAAGCAAACCCAAGTCTGCTTGAATTGCATTCCACAGACAAGCTCCCTTCTGCTTTATCAAAACACCACATTAAGTTTTGTTCAACCATACAGGATAAACTGCTGCTCACACCCGTAAACAGAGGTATATTTGTTTAATAACTGATTGCTGCCATAGCTACAGTAAACAACGTGCCTGCATTTGTGTTCATGAACAAATACATCATCTTGCAAGACCAATTTAACATTAACCAGGTGGAATAATCGAGAGATTTTGTAGGTGACACTCAACCAAGACAATGTAAACAGATTGAGAAGGAGAAAGGGGCCATTCTCAGGGAATCAAGGTTGAGGCAATGCATTGTGGCTTGAGTAAACAGTGGGAAGAACTTAAGACAAACAACTAGTCAGTCTTCTTTCATCCACTGACATTTATACAAGTGGTGATTTTTGTATATTAACATCTATCAGCTGCTGCCCACCATGAAATCAGTCAAGTGAGAGACCAGACTAATTTATTTACACAAGATTCTATTTACTCACAAGGAAGAATCATTTGTATCAACAACTTAGCCTTATCCATCCATTGCTAACCCCAGAAACCTGATCCATTTCTTTACTGCAGACGTATTGTATGTTAAAACAAATCTTTCAATGTTCCTTTGTTCCAGTTCACATGTACTTTCTGCAGCCTTAATATGGATGCCACAACCAGGGAGCATGAAGGATTACAGATTTTTCTTTAAATATGGAATTTTCTTTTTAAGTTGTCTGACACAAATATGATTTAAGTGTGCATTTAAACTCACTTGAAATAAACACACTCATGGAGAGCAATGTGCTTCAGGCAAAACTGAATCATTTCATCAAATGTCAACATGTGGGAAAATGGTCTCTCTGAGCATGTGCAGTTCAAAATATTATAGCAGTCTTGCAGTGTTGAGATATCACAAGGAGGGTGGATTTGAGGAAGACAAATGCAGTCTGTAACTGTACCAAAAGAGCCCACTTTCTTCACAAGTTCTGCATTACAAACTGCAGTTCACAATTTGTTGGCAAACATAGTAAAATATATCATTAAGTTATTTCAGTTCCATTTTTACTTCATCAAAAGGTTGTTCTTTTTGCAACTAATCTGAGCTGTAAAACACAACTGTTCAGATACCTTTGTGCAATTCAGCATACATGACCTTTTCTTGCAGTATCGTATTAAGTCTTTGAGAGTATGCAGATTGCCATCAACTTTTGAATGATTCCTCATTCCTGCTGTGTTCACTGTTGCACAATATACATGTTTAAATTTACAGATACAGTAATCATAGCACAAAACAAAACAATTTCCACCAACTATATTTCACATTATGCACATCGAGATAAAAAAATAATCTTCAAAGTGAACTTTCCGATAAACAAAATGCTTTGGAGAATGCATATCAAATTCAAACAAAGGGTGGAATTTTCCCAACGCTTGAACTACATGGTCAATGGCAAGTCAGCTGGGAAAATATGGCGAGATTGACAAATGGGATTCTCAACTTTTGAGGAAAACAAATCCGACTTTTGACCTAAGCTCTGAATGAGAAGACTCTCGCTAGAGAGTGACCACAGGCCTGTTTTCATGCATTGACAGCTTATTATTACCAAGCCATACCTCATTTACATGCAATTTCTTATTCTCCCACATGGCAGAGAGAATCCACACAGTGATAGTTCTTGACATGAACAGCAGCATGGGCACCTGGTAGTTCCAGCTCGCTGAATGCTTCTCTGGGCCTCCACCTTGGCTGCCAGTCCCTAACATCTCCAGCCACACTCCATTGGTGACTGTTTGTACCCTCTGTTAACAGAGGTTGGCATCAGACATACACCTGCCTCACCATCTCAGCATGGCACTTTGACTCACATATGATACAGCTCA